AGACATTACACGGAAACTAAAAGCGGACTCAAAACCGTTAGCCTCCACGGCTTAATATTACTTACAGAGAGAGAGAGCAACGAATACTACAAAAATACTGATGTCAGTCTAAATTATCCTTTTATCAGGATCAACCGCCCAAAATCGTGCTGGGTGGAAGATCGACAGGCTTTAAGCATCCAAGTTCCGATCCGAGACTAGTTCAAGACCTACACACAGTAAAAAGTTTAATGAGTTTTTTGTAAAGTGTCAAATAGTCACCTTCCGGCTAAAGTATCAAAAGGGCCATGTGATGTTTAAAATTTCCGCCGCCATTTTATTTATTTATAAAGAAATTGTTGGTTCAATCTGTTGGAAAATTTTACTGAATTTTTTCGGCAGCACAAAGAAAATTAAACGAAATTTTCGGACTGCTTCGTTGAACAATTTCTCTACAAAAAATATTTTTACAGAGAAATTCTTCGGCGGAAATTTTAAAACGTCGCAGGGCGCTTGTGATACTTTGGCCGAAAGGTGACGAAATGACGGATTATATCAGGAACGATAAGAGAGGGATGGATTGCTGTCAGTAGATTCATTGGTGGAAAGCTTTACAAAGTAGCAAATTTCCCGAATTCACTTTAGTTATTAATTAGCAAAATGAGAGTGAATTCAGGCATTTTCTTGATACCTGCGTCATTTGAATTTTGAATAAATTGTACAACTCATCGAGGTCTGGCATTTCCACGCTTTAAAAAACTCCTTCAATTCTGCGTGTATGCAATTTTATTTGCAGCGGCATTAACGACGGTGCGCCAATGCTCGGCACTCGAATTTGGACTGCATTTGGCATTTTGCATACATTTGAGGAACATTCTTCTATGCAGAGGTGCTGATTATTTCAATTTCGAGTTTTTGGTGCCGAGGTTGCTTTTCCCGAGGACAGTCATCACTTTACGTTACTAGCGACCTTTCTTAAAATTGGAATTTCCTTTTTAAAAAACCAGAATTTAATTTTTTTTTTTAATCCACTGACAGTAAAAGTTGAAAAGAGTAGGTGCCAATTCAGAATTAATTTCAAAATAATAGAAAAGAAACTTACCCGAGAAAATATAAGACGACCCCAGAAATCAGGCTCAAAGATGAGTCTGCAACAAAAATAACGAAATACGTGACACAAAATGCTTGCTGATACCTAAACCGCACAGAGCAGCAAAATAATAATGTTAAAATAATAATAAAAAAAGCTTCATCAGCTGAACTTTGAAAGCATATAAATCACTTTTCGTCACACTAAAGATAGCTACGGATTGTTGTAATGTGAGACATTTACTTTGTTTGCAAAAAAATTAATAATAAAAAAAAAACATAACAAAAAAAACAGTGAAATTAATTAAACATGCAAAATCACTGACAATTTAACACAATTCCTGGCGAAGAAAGGAGGAACGATTAGTTTTATTACGATTGGAAAAATTGAGGCTTTCTTATTGAGCATAGTGGTCTTGAAGAATAAAAGAAAGAAAGATAAAAAGAAAAAAATGCAACAAAAATGTACTCAAAAACGGCTTGCAGGGGGTGAATCTATGGTAAATGTTGACTTAAAATCGCGGAAATACCAAATCTTGGCTGTTCCTATTTTCGAGACATCGCAATTTGAAATTTCCATAGCAAGGCAAGTTTTCTATTGATTTTGATCTGGTCTTTATTCATTTGTCCATTGAATCTTTGTTGATCGGTTAACGTCGATCCAATTACGTTTTCATTCTTCGTTCGATTCATGCTAATAGAATACATACCCTCTTTATGCATGCACACTTCCTATCACACTCTTCTTTTTTTTCAACTGAACAATTCACCTTCTGCTACGTCTGCTGCAATTGTTGTTACGAATATGTTGTGCGTACTGATTTTAACTTTTTACATACTCGACTCTCTGAAGGCGTTTTAAACGCGCAAGTAGCTCAATCTGTTGGAGAACGAACGAAGTAGGAAAAGAGCGATTCATTCAATCTCACTTCTGTAGTTCTCCAACAGATTGCGCTACTTGCGCGCGTAAAACGCCTTCAGAGAGTCGAGTATGTAATAGGTTAAAATCAGCACGCACAACATATTTGAAACAACAATTGCAGCAGACGCAACTGAAGGCGAATTGCTTTGGCACAAAAACGCCTTCGGTGAGTCAAGTACATGATGAGCTAAAATCAGCACACACGACATATTTTTAACAACAATGGCTGCGGACGCAGCTAAGGGCGAATTTAAAACAACCGTGTTGGTAAGCTAAACTTCCCGCCAAGACTGAAAAAGCGCCAACGCCACAATGATTGTGAAGCAAAAAAAAAAAACAAACAATGCGACAATTTACCCAAAAACGGTTTGCAGGGGGAGAATCTAGGGTACATGTAGCGTTCCCAATGCTTCAAAAATTGAGTGTGGAGACTTTCACAACTTTACTCTGGCCAATATCCCAAAACGTTATTTTCATCTATGTATTCTGAACTTTGCTCCACGTGTCTTATCATGACGAGGATTTTTAATAATTTAAAGGGAGCATGGGCGAAGCTAGGGGGGTCCTGGGGGGTCGTGCCCCCCCCCCNGTCCCATGCCCCCCCCCCCAGAGAAATTTCCTAGCTACGCCCCTGAGAGGGAGTAATGGTAATACTTCACGATGTTTTACTTAGCTCTTCAACCATAGGCGTACCCCACCTTTTGATAGGGGGAATGTAGTGCCCCTACCACCGAGGGGAGAGGGGTCCAGGGGCCCTTCCAGGAAATTTTTGAAAATTTAAATATATTTGGGCGTATTTGGAAGCTTTTGTGACTCAGATTTGCTAACAATTTCTGCAGAAAAATTACTTTTTTTTTTTTTTNTTTTTTTTTTTTTTTTTTTTTTTTTTTTTTTTTTTTTTTTTACCTTCAGCACAAAATACTTTCGAAATGTTGAATCCAATACTGCCGCGCTAAGGAAGAACGCCGTATGAACCTTCAGGCGTTGCCAAATTTCCATGGATAAAACACAAATTTCCCGGTAACTTTATGAGTATTCTCCTTCTAATTTCTCAGATACTTTGGTTTGCAATTTCACCTGAAGTTCCTGGAAATACCAAGGAAAAATATTCATAGGTTTCCTCAAAAATAAACGTTTTATCGAAGGAGATCTGGCAACTCTCGAATGTTCATACGGCGTTTTCCCTCAGCACGGCAGAATAGATCCGGAATATTTTTGAAATTTTAATTCTATTTGCACGCATTTTGAGGCTTCGATGATGAACCATGATCCCCCCCAATGATTTAGAGGATACTATGACTGAATGAACACGGCTTTTTCATTTAAGACTCTACATAGAGAGAGATAATCATCCTCGACATTGGTCGACACATTTGTCTAGACAGTCAAAACGCCTTCACTTTCGTGCGTATGCAACACGGACATCCGTGCAGCTCGAATAGATGTATCCAGGAGCTAAAATGAAATTCGTATGGTGTTTGTCGAATTCGATACTAATGAAGGGCGCTTTGCTTGTTTCTCTCGCTTATTTCAACTTAATTTCAGCGTTGCCTATTTTTCCGATGAAATAAAATATTACTGATTTTTATTGCTACATTGTCAATTTTCCAAATGATGCTTAGGTAGATTGTTTGAATGAAGAACAACGTTTTTGTCCTACACTGTGGGCTACGATCCCTACCATCTCTGATCTAAGAACGACGAATATGGCAAAGTCGTTTCATGGTTGCTTCAAGAGAAATTCGAGCACGCATCTCAACATATTTGTATCTTCCTCGCTGAAGAGTTAGAAAAAAGTCCAAGTAGAAAATATGTACTTCAACCTACGGTTGATTCAGAGCCCAGTGTAGTAGGGATCGAATTCTGCAGAAAGTACGAGTATGTCTTACATTACTCATTGCTTCAGGATCATCGAATTGGAGCACTGATGGACTGAGTTAATAAAAAAATGAATCGATGATGGAATAATTAAAAGCAGCCGGTCAAAAGTTCTCGCATAAAGTTCCTCGGCAAGGCGTTGACAAAAACAAAGTAAATTCTTCTTCTCAAGTTTTTCTTTATTTAGGTATTTTCGTATGCAAACGGCCCTCACAAACATAACACTAAAATGTTGTGTATTATTCAGCATTGATTACAGAAAATTTGAATTCCCCGCTCACCAGAAAAACCAGAGTCTGTTTAAATGAAATCGCGTACCACAACAGTTCTAGCAGGCTTCTCAATCAGCGTTCCTTTCCTGCCTTGTGTTGTTTAAAGGGTTCATACATAACTACACAACGTGGAACATTAAGGCCCAAGTTCAGAGATTAAGGCTGCCACATTTCCATACAGTATAGTGACTGCTACGGTAACGTTTAAAATGCAATTTAACTCAACTAGATAATTTTTTTTATGAAAGGGAAGTTTGATGAATCAAGAAACGTTTAGATCTTGTATGGAATTACTTTCAATAATTTCCGTTGTGCAAATCGTGCCCTTCTTGGACTTTTGATGAGAAAACATACATAATAATGCTTATAATCATATCTTGCCTTAAGAACCCATTAAGAATAATAATCGATGGTGAAATTCTTAAACCTTTCATCACGGTTTGCAACATTGCAGACTTCCTGTCATACTTTATTTTTTAAATGGAAAACTACTCAACATTAATTCTTTAAATCTTCCGTGACTTTCCTTCTCTGGGCGAAGAATTTTCTGTGAAAACTTCATGGGATAATGTTGATTTGTTCTCCTCCAAAAAATAAAATGCGAGCGGAGATTTTAAAACGCCGCAAACGAGATATACTCTTTGGGAGTTTCACCATCGATGTAATAATTAATAATATGTATGTATAGGCATAGAACATTCTTATGAAAACAGCATGCTCACACCATTGAGAGAGTATTTAGTCACGAAAGAAACCATTCTCCTTTTCATGTCGCAATCATGCTCAAAAAAAAAAAAAATTGAAAAAATTAAGGGACGTTGGTAAAATTTTGGTTAGGATGATTTTTAATCATACAATTGTTAATATTTGTAAGTTGTATATTTAAAAGTTTATACATGTTAAATAAAAGACAATAACATCAGTCCTATGGATAAGTTACTTTACAATACATGTACATATATTTAAGCACTTTTTACTCAGATGTATATACACAAAATAAATACTTAACAAAAACTGAGTATGAATTTAAAAATAAAAGTTATTTGAATCAAAAATGACTAATTAGAGAACAGATCCAAGGTATTAACAAAGAGTCATGCAAGAATTAGAGCCGATATCAAAGGAATCGTATAGTGATTTCGAGTCTCTTATCAAGTCCCCAGCGTAATTTCATATTCAAAACGCTAATAGTTTTTCTTTTCTAAATTTTTATTCTTCTACACAAAGTTATTGAAGATAAGCCAGAAACAATTATTAAGCAATGATATACATAAATAAGAAAATGAGCAATAACAATTTTTTTTTTTTAAATAAGGAAAAAGTCTGTAAATTCTACCGAAATAATAACTCTTTTAACATGAAATACTAAAGGGGAAAAATGCAATAGTTTCAAGCAAGTCTAACAATCGGAATTTGTCAAAATGGAGGTCTCTGGCTGTTTTACAACATATAAAAAACTACATAAATAATGGAGGTTACCAAAGCAGTTTTCTTCTTTTCTTTCTTTCTTTCTTTCTTTCTTTTTATCTCTTAAAATATTACTGTTATCAGATCTAGATTTCTCTAATCGGGCGAGTGGAGGGCAAAAGATGCTGAGGATATTTGGCTTTTACCGCAAACTACAGAAAAATGTTACTAACAACGAATATTACTAGGAAAGTTTCCTTCTTGAGGTTTTCCCTCACCCTTATTTGTACACATGCAGGTTTGATTGAGTTTCCATTTTCTATCCAATTATCTTTGATACATACCAACTGAAATAAATGTTGAGGTTTCCAATTAATGTGACAAATGAACAAGCAAAATTAGCAAAGAAAGTTTAACGTGGGGCAATTTAGGCACAAAAACTAGCAGGTTTTACTCAAAAATTTACAATTCACTTTAAGATATGACAAATAATTTAATTCAGGGCTTCAGTATTGGATACTGAGTATGTGAGAATAACTAACCTTAATAAAATCTGCTATATAAACTTAGCGTCTTTAAGGGCAGCTGGAGAAAAATATTCACTAGTAACAAAAAAATTCCAGCTTTAAGTCTTTAGAGTATTGAATAAATAAATAATAAATTAATATATGAGTAAATAAATACATCATTGACTTTGGTAAAAAGTAACGTTGTTTAACTACAGGGTTTGAAATCTATGCATATCTGTAACCGTCTTCCAAGTGGTTCCCGACACCAATTTGGATTCATTCCAGATATTAAAATTAAGAGTCAAGAATGTTTTGGAAAAGAACATGTTTCAGGGTAACAGACAAAAACAGGGGTTTTAATACAGCGTAGTCCAGGTTTGTTGGGTAAATCTACACGATCTAGCTTGGTTAAAGTCAAGGAATCAGAACTTTAAAAACTGCTATGGTAATTGATGAAATTGATACGTCTGACCGAGTTTAATTTGGACAGGTGTCTCCTAAAAGATCTTAAAATTCTATTCAACTTAGCCTTTTCCTTTCATTTCACGGTAATTTAGTTACAATTCATGAATGAAGTTATGTATACAACGTTCTTCAACGCTTTTTTTTCGGAATTTCACACTGAAAACTAAATGCAGGATGGAAGTTCAAAAAGAACTCTCAAGACATGTAAGTGTTTACAATTAAAATTAACACTACTTAAGTACAAAAAGATATCATAAGTCTTCAATTTGATAAGTGTGAATTTCTCACAATAATTTTCTCGTTGAGGGTTGAATTTTGATCTTTCCATATTTCATTTTCCATACAAAATCACAAAAGACAGCAAAAATAATAACCTCTGAACTTGGATAACAGTGAATACTGATACGGAAGGCACATTAATACTGCTTGATAAATCAACAGCATGGTACCAAGGGATCTGACTGATAAAATTTCCGTGCTCCACAAATTTTTGTCACAGATGTCATCGTCTTCCTGACTTAAGGGCGTAATTATACTTTGTAATGAAGCGTATCACTTATACAACTCTACGTTTTTGCAGGCTCATCGCAGGCAATGATATAACTGCAGAGTGATGATCTACGCAGGGATGAAAAAAAAAAAAACAGGACTGAAAATGGACTGAGTTGAACAAAATCGCACTAAGTTGCATTTTGAAAAAAAAAAATGAGTTGAGAAAGGTTTTGAATTCAACTGGTGGTAAATTTTCTCCCGTCAAAATTAAATGTTGAGAAAAAATATTTTGAACGTAAAGAGTCATTGAACGTTCTCCTTAACATCGAGTCTAATAGAGAATTCAAACTTCAAACCCTTTTTCGGTTCAAACTTGATGCTGAATAGTGCGCTTTTGTCGAACTTGGTACAAATAACAAAAGCACAATTTCTGACAATCTGATCCAATTGTGAAAAATTGTGGTTGAAGTTGCAATACTAAACTTCCGAGGAGTTGTGTGATTCATTCAACTTTACCTATTTTAGTTAGTAAAAACCCTGAGCTTAAATACTGATGGGTGATCAATTTGTAAAGGAGATTCTGTGATTTAAAAGAGAAAAAAAGTGGGAAAAGGTTTTTTTTAAAATTTTCCCTTCAAATCATGAGCTTAGTGAACCTAAAGTTGAAAAATTTTAAAAGAGTAAGCTGAGTTTACAGCTGTGAGGAAGGCAGCCTGTGTCTGCTGAGACAAACCTGTAAAAATGTGACCAGATTTGAAAGAAAGAGACCTATTTTTTCACTAACTTAACAATCAAGAGATTAGACACTGAAAGCTCTAATTTATACAAAGAATTGATTTTCTAAAATCCATGAAGTGAAATAGACTAGCGATGAAATCCTCTCTCGAAATGAACTAGTTGTCAAACTCGAAGATTCTGCAAGTGAGTTTTTAAACCATCTTCTGATTTTCATAGATTGAAACTTTCCTTAGGAGTAAAAGAGGAAAGAATATTAGGCTGATGTCAAGAAATGTGTATCTCATATTGCGACATTGTAAGTCTCTGCTTATATTTTATTTTGCAAGAGGAAGACAGTTTCCATTAAAATTTTTCTGTAAATTTTCTCTACTCATTATAAATAAATCACCTAAAATTACTAGGAGGCGTTTTGATTAGTTTTTGCCTTCGCAACTGAGATACGCATTTTTTGCATTTGGCCATCAGTGTATGGAAAATATTTTTCCGGCAGTTCTTATGAAACAACAAATAGCATTCCCAGAGGTGACATGGAGGGGCTCAAATAATAAAGTTGTGTGTGTCCAAATCTCTGTAGGACATGACTCGCTAAAAATTGATGGAATGTAAAACATCCTTTTGGAATGGAGGGTTCTTTTCAAGGATCTGATTACACTTTTATACATAAATTATTAGGTTAAAGCTATAAGTAAGGTTATCAGTTACAAATGAGGTTGACAAAAGGGTCATTGTAACATATCTGGAGATACCATCACCGTATTTCTTCGAATATAATGCGTACTTCTGACTTTCAAGGATTTGTAAAGACTAAAACGCAATTTGTACTATTCCTTTCACGCAGGTCTTGAGTTGGTAGGTATATAGGTCCAAAAAGCAGCCTTCAGCTCAGATCACAGCAGCATATCAGTTTTGAGTATTATTCACTAAATTGTCTTTTTCAGCTTTGTGGCGTCACTACTTGGGATTTCTCACAGAGCACAGATAAAAACAAAAAAGAAAAGCGCAACACAGTTTGGTCATAAACCACAACCTGCCCGATCATTACTTTAGACAAGAAACCAAATTACACAAAAATTAGAAACCGGTTACACGGTTTACATGAAAAAGATTGTACAAGGCTCCATGTTCCTCAAAAACTCTTGACAATCATTTCGATATTAACCTGAACACGATTGCCTCGAACTTCACATAATTTTAATGAGTGGTTCAGGGCTGCATTTAAAGTGCGTTGAAAGAGGGATAATCACAATCTGAGGCGTTTATTAAATAATTGGACCAAGTTTTGCAAGAGGGAAGTGAGTGCAAGGACACATTTACAGGGTTGCTTTAATTTCCTCATTTCCCAATGCTCTGATTTTTTCTGACCTTCGGACAAAACTTCCACTTGGATTTTTCTTTTTTTTCTTCTAATTATTTACGATGGCGTTTGTTGAACAAAATTTCAAATTATGGAAAAGGCACTTGGAGGTTGCTTGCACTCTCTTAATTAGCATCAGCTGAAGTTGCTGAGCCGCCATGCTACTAGCCGAACTTCCTTGACTTTCTGGACCCGCGTAAAGGTTGACTTATGAAAAACACCTCTGCACACTGTGTGAAATTGGTAAAAATAAGTTGTTTCTTTTACGCTGGACTTGGTCAAATTCACGAAATACCATTCGACAGGACATTAAGAGGTAAACCTGATTTTACAGTAGCTTACTGGCAAATTTTTTTGAAGCCCACATGTTTCCGCGGATAGATAGAGCAGGTAAAGATTTGAGTATTTTAAGAAGTTAGAGAACATGAAAACGTTCGCCCAGAATATAATGCAAACTGAAATTCTGCATCTATTACAGATAATTTGATGTAAGTGCATTATATTCCAAAAAACACGGTAAGTATCACTTGAGAAAAATTTGAGGAAAACAAATGGAGAGGAAGTTGACTACGGTGCTGATTCAAATTCCAGTAAACCAAAAAATTCCATCACAAGATTCATGATTTTAACGTATTTAACGTACAGCGAAATGCTTTTGTCAAATAAACCTAAGAGCTATACGTCCAATTTGTTACATAACTGCCAAAGAGCGATGTTTTCGGGAACAGAGAACTGTTGACAAAGCACCATCTTGACATCATACCATCCATCCATGTGGCAAGCCAAACCACATTCAGATACGATTGATCTCTTTTAATATATCTCAGTTTAGCTTATAATGAACATTTTTTTTGGAGGAGGGAGGGGGAGACTTCTGATCATGAAATCTGTTCTTTCTCTTCTTGTCAGCTAACAAGCGCTAACATACATACATTAGCTAACATACATACACTCCTATGTTTTATTTAGAAAGTTTTAGGTCAAAAATGAGCCATGGACAGGCAATTACTTTGTAAAGTTGGGTATTTCTTTAACTTGTTACACAGACAGGAGTAGAGACTGATATGGTGGTCAGGTGATGTTTGTCTATTTGCCAATCTTGGGAAAACTAATTATTCTGGAGCGTGTTTCATTCATAGGATTAGAGCCAGGATAGCATAAAAGTTCCACTAAAAATAATAAATTGACTCATTGGATTTATTCAACAATTTAAAAGAAAAAAAAATTCTGACCACTCTCTCGATCAAAAGCAAAAAAAAAAAGACTGAATACACTGAAACACAAAATTACTTTTGCTTGTTGAGCCCTTTTCATAGCGCAAAGGAAACACTTCTTTAATGATCTTTGAGGGTTCTAGAAAACTAGTTTATTTTTAAGAAAAATCGTTCAAGAAAAAAGTTTCACAAAAAAGAAAGATTTAAATTTCTTATGTGTTATGCTCAGAGTCCTAACTTACTGTGTCAAAAGGCAGCTTTACGCAATATATTGACACAACAATGAGCTAAATTTCTTGAATTACATTAGACTGGACGCCAGAAACCTGTCCCTGTGAAAGACTCGAGTGTGCCTCTCAATGTTAAGTGCATTATCTTCTGCATGATCACAAATAAATGAATAGGACTAAACCACAATCAAGCAGAAAACATATAGCTTTGGGAGAGGAAAGACTGCGTTGCAAATACTTGAGCTTTCATGTACCTCTGCTTCAAATCCAATAAATAAAGCACGCTCTGACTCAGCTAGACTACGAATAATCCTCTTTTGAGGAGCGAATTGTCCGACCTAGAGGAAGTTCACATAGAGAGGATATGGAGGGTTTACATGAAAATGCGTAACAATAATTAAGTAACATCCAAGTTGAATAAAATGTAACGAGGCGAACGGATAAATGCAGTTATGAGAAAAGATAAGAAACAAAAATATTGCACAGGAAGATTCAAGAGTCTGTTTTGGAGTTAGTCGCATTCTTAATGACAACTTGCAGCTGAGTGTGACTAGGACTTACCACTTCGGCTGAGTAATTTAGTGATTCATCGGTAACGCCTTTCAAACTATCTTGATCGTGCTGCCTGTGCCCTCGAACAGGAGTGGTAGGACAACCTGAAAAATTTCACAGGAATTCAAAATTCGCCCAATGTACGATCTAAATACTAGAGTAGTTATAATTATTGCTACACCAATGACACCTGTGAGAAGAAAAATTGACCTTTTTTCCATTATACACTTATCATCAATGATCTTTATATGTATATGTCAGCAGATTTTAAACATCCTAAGCTGATTTTCGGACTTCCTCTTGTGTGATTTGTGTTCCTCGAGAGGTTTGAAGAGATAAATTGTTTCAAAATGCTTCGATTGATACCTTGTACAGAGACCCATTTTTAGCAACTAAGAAAATGCTGAAGGATGTGGAGCTATTAAAAATTCAAGAAAAAGACTTTGCGATTGGAGTGTTCTTAATATGTATCGAAGACATTTCTGCTGTGCTGTGCATGATTTTCATGCAAATTTACCTGCCAAAATTCTGCTTTCTTGGCTATACCTTTGCAGGACAACCGACACGTTTCAGTAGGCTGATATTTGAAATTGATAGACAAAGAAGATGACAGGAAAATGGCATAGTCCTATTGGTTGAATAGAATGGTTATTCCAAACTAAAGGGGAAGATGATGAACTAACTATACGGTCTCTCATAGGCTGCTGTTAATTAGTATATTACTTTACCTACTTTGACCATTGCAACCACCTGCTTCCACAAACAGAATTATTCCAAGGGACGAGTGGACAAGGTATGAATCATAGCATTCTGATACATGTTTCGCCTGCTTAAAATTTCACAATCCAGGCAACGAAAATTGCTGATAATAACTCCTAACTGAGATATGAAATGTTTTTTGATGCGTTAATTCAAACCTCTCGCTAATGGAAAAACAAAACTATTGGTGAGTCAAATCACGCACTAATCGTTCCTGTAATAGTCTCTGCAGTATGAAAAAAAGACAACCTGAATCTTGGTGCTTCAATTCAGTTGTTGCACTATGTTTACGCTTTAAATACACCGGGATAAAGAAAGAATGCGGCTGGATTAAAAAACCTGCCAACACTGTTGTAGTGCGCAATTTGACTCATGTAAAATATTGTTATTCTTGTGACTGGGCAATTTGAATTTCCCTTAACGATTGTTAAATAAAAAATTTGATACCTTAGTTAAGAGTTGATTTCAATAATTTTTGTTGCGCGAATTTTGTTCTATATGAAATTCTGATTGAGAAACATGTATCAGAATGCTTCAATTTGTACCTTATCTGCTGATACATTTCCGTTTGTCTATCGTTTTATCTATTGATTTCAATGATCAGCTCATTGGAGAATTACTGGTGATAGGACAAAATTCCCAAAAATAAATGGCCAATGTAACAAAAGGCCTTGAGAAAAAAATGTCCAAGTGTCTGAAGCGTCCATTAGCGGTAAAATGGCCCAAATAAAAAATAATTTTACCGAGAGTTGGTTAGAAAAACTCTGTATCACTGCTCCTTCATTATCTCCATGGATATTTCTGCAGAAAGCTTCCAAGCTCACTATTTTGCCGCTTTGTAAAATTATGTCACATTTGGGCATTTTTGTTTTCAGCTATAATACTGCTACTGGATATTCCAGATATTTGGACATGTTTTAGATGTGAACTTTTTTCACTTTGGACGTTTGTGAACTTTGGACTTTTACTTTTGGACATTTTGTCCCATTCCTGAATTATTCCATGGAATAGTTTCGAAGGATAGTGAGAGAATGAATGCAACAATTTACCAATATCACCACTGCTGGAAGACTCGGTGAAACTTGGAGTGCCTTCAGTCCACGTCGGAGTGCTGCCCTCGTTGGACGCTGGTGGGGTCCACGTTCGGTTTTTTATGCTTCCAGTTCCTGTCACAGAAGAGCTTCCAGATCCAACACTTAACACAGATTTATAATCAGAGCGAGATTCTAATTGTACCTCTGAAATACTGGAAACAATAACATCAAATGTTCATTACATTGAAAATGCACTACATTGAATTTACAATTGAAAATGCACATATTGCCAAGGTTGACATTGTTTCCATAATGGAGAATTTGTAGGTGTCTGAAATTTGATGAATTCCGTGTTTGAATGGGCGCTACCAAGTGAGCTGAACACGAGGATACCCTTGGTTCCTAAATGGAACAAGTATTGGAGGAGTTATGACATAATGATCTAATCTGCTAAAATACAAGCGTTTAAATGGGAAATGCTGCCAGATGACGTCATTAGGCGGTGTATTTTCTTACTTTTAATTGAATATATTTTTATTAAACTATTTCCCATTGCCGAAAAAGTTGTAAAAAATACTGCAAAATCAGCTCTTTAGGCACTGTCAGACGAAGCAATAAAACATTTGCGTGCAAATTCTCCATTTTTCCATTATCGATTCCCCGAATTTTTTGCTTTCTCCTGACTCCAAAATTTCCGGATTCTCAACTTTCTTTTGATTGAGCTTTGAGTTATTGCCTTATGATTAAGCTGATTTTAAACAAACTTTGAAAAAATCTCATATTTTAGAGATTAAAATTAAGAAAAAAGGCATTGGTAAGTTGCTCTCTTTCTCTCAAATGGTATCAGCTGAAATTCCTAAGCCAACATGCTATTCTTAAAAATTTTTGACTTTCCAGGTTTTCCAGACCGTCAAAAACTTCGGGTTGAACACTCTATGGAGCTGAATTCACAGTTTCAAAACATTGTTCATTTCTACACTTTCTAATATTTTAGGAATTTTTCAGAGTTTGGTGAGAAATGATAGGAAATATTTGGTACTAAATTTACGGGTTAAAGTATTCATCACATTTCTGACTCTTGAGAATGGGTCAGTTGCGCTGGTCATAGAATCATGTTCTGATGCTTGACTCTTGTAGATTAGCTAAAAATATGTCGATCCATCCAAACAGCAACTTTCTACGTTCAATATTAGTCGAGATATTGCCCTTTGAAAAGTCGGGATTTTGACGTCATCCACTGCGGTAGTGATACCCTTGGTTTCTCTCATCCTGCTTTCATTCGAGTCTCGCATTGAGTAACCAGTGCAAATGTGCGTCAAACTGACTGATGAAAGCAAGGTGAAAGAAACCAAGGATGGCACTACCGCAGTGGATGACGTCATGAACCGAATTTTTCAATACAGGATATCTCGGTTAATATTGAACGTAGAGAGTTGCAGTTTGGATGGATCTTATTATTTTGAGCTGAACTACAAGAATCGAGCGTCAAAACAAAATTCTATCAGCGCAACTGACCCATTTTCTTTATGTTTACACCAAATTATAAAGGACTGAATTAAGGCTTGAAATTGAATTTGAAAATCTCGACGGAAAACTCTCTCAAATTCTGAAGAATAATTTTGAAAATTTATTCATTTTTGCACAAGTAAATTTGCAGTAAAACTCGACACTTTTGTGTCTTAAGTACGTCGGATGTAAATTTAGATAGTTTTTTCTCAATGTTAAGTTTTTGAGCTGCAAACTTTGATTTTTTTTTTTTTTTTTTGTAAACTATGTAAACAAAATAATTTAATTCAAAATGATTTGCTGCATACCTGACATAATCCTCTCGTTTAGAGATGTTGCCCCGGTGCTGGAGCCTTTGTCTGAGAGGTGTCGCTAGGCTCGCCCCGCTGCTCTTTTCGATCACATAGTCTCCTCGGATTGCATCTTCAAACGCTGGAGGAGGGGTGGAACAGGAAGGAAAACTGCCAGTTGCAAAGCCTACGGAAGCAAAAGGGATTACAAGCTCAAACAACCAATTATATTAGAGATTACACAAAACATCGACTTCAAATCAACAATATTCAAGAGAAACAGCGTACTCAAAAAATATACCTAAGGCATATTTATACAAAGTATCTTGCTTTAAAAAAAAGAAAGATAAAAAAAGCCAACACTACTTTCTACAAAAGTAGAGACTAAATTTTCTAAAATAACTGGAGATTTTGGGAGTACAAATACTCCAGCAGTGCTACCATTTCCCGGAATTAGTTCCAAATTTCGACAATTTTGCAATTTCTCGGAAATTTACTCGGAATCTTCGAAATTCCCGGAAGATCCCGGAATTTCCAGCTACTTTCGCAATTTTCTCGGAGTTTTGGGGTTTTTTGTTAGTTTCACCAATTATTTGATCAAATTTGTCAATTATTGGAACTACAACCGGGCGTACTTCAGGATTTTTCCCGGGCTTTTGAAAAAATCGGAACTCATGACAATCGGAATTAATTCCAGGAACCTTGATATCTTGGGTAAAATAAAATAGCAGCACTGTCCGGATCTGACTACTGTGCTCACATTAAACCTGAAGAGGGGCATTATAGAATCAAGGTTACATTTTCAATGATCAAAATAAGCCCAACAGCACCACGACATGTGTGTTTGATAGATGTGTATTCGACAGATGCAGAGCACCTATAGTTTATTAGGAAGGCGCCAGCGATTGGATTCTTTTTTTAAATACTTATGTCGGTCACGATTTTTTGGCTTTCATTTACCAATAAGTCACACTGACTCTTGGGAGGTGATTCAGGCAAACAATTACTGAAATTTGGTCTTGAAGTGTAAAAATGAACAGTTGCTTGTCTCCGTACCTTCCTTGAAGGTCACAGGCTGGTTGTTGTGAGAGATATAAAGAAAGTGCATACGCTGGGGAGAAGGAAAAAGGCAAAGGAGATTGGATGGAGTATGCATGACCTCACACTAAATACTTGAAGAAATCTACAATTCATGTCTCATGACAAAAAAGAAGACAAATTTTACCAATGTTTAGATCTACGGTGTACATATTAAAACAGAATTATTACTTTTCATTTGGGAATAAAAACTCAAGAATTATAATACTAGAGATAGAACTAGAGGTCAACAACTAAGAGTTTAAATCTGAAATCGTGCGCCTTATTCAGGATTAATTGAGCCCATAGCTTCCAAAGTTTCGCTTCTAAAGTTCTAAAACATGAGACTGAAAAAGATAGGGTCGTAGCACCTCAGCAAGAAATAATTTAAAAAAAGAAACCTGCAAATTTCACAGCCTGAATATTATTGTTCAATAAAATTTCTCAGAGACCAAATCATTATTTCTGAAAAGGAAACCTTCAATTGGTAAGACAGGTTAAAAAATTAAGTAATTTAGAACTATAGCTATAAAAAAAGACTCTTGAAATAGATCCCATTCAGCATATGGAAACTAACGCAATTTCAGTGTTGTAAAAATCTTGCATCTTTATCTTCATCTAAAAATACGCCTGGAATAGCAAATAACTACTGTATTTCTACTAAAAATTGTCAATTTTATAGGGAAGCGATTGCATAAATTTTATTATTGTATATATATTTAGAAATTTCTGAAGCAGAAAAAAAGTTGCATGATTTTGAGAGCACTGTAATTGCGTTGGTCCCCTTTTATTAAATGCGATACAGATGTAGGATGTGCTCACAACTAGAGATCTACATATAGTTGCAACAGCCATCCCTTCCAGAGCACACCCAATTTCAAAATTCTTTATGGAATCGAGGACTTAATATTTCCATTTTAGGCCACAACTGCTACAATGTCTACTGACTTTGTTAGTGCTGCAGAAAATGAAGAAGCATTGCAAATTAATAGATAAGTATCTAACACACATGCACATCGGAAGCGTACAATTTAGAGTATACACTAAATGGCCAGGCACTACACAACCTAAAGAGGGTGTTAATTAAAGCTGACATAGCGAAGAGTAAATATTTGGACACAACCTGCCTCCCACCGATGGTAGAGTTAAAAATGATGGGGTGGGTTGGAGGAAAAATAGAGACTGCCTTTTAGTGGATACTTCTTTCAACAACAGAAGTTTAAAAGTCTTTGCAAAATAGTGCATGACAAGTTTATCCCTTTTCTTTTGAGGTCTAAGATTCCTTGACAAGATATATTGTTAGTACGAAGTTTTGGTAAAATATTAGAAGGCACAGGACAGAAATTAGGAAAAGGATTACTTTTATTCAAGAGGTCTAATTTGTCTTGGTGATTTCTAATTGTTTATCTTGTAAAAGTAATAGACTTTGTAGATTTATTTTAGGAGTTTTTCAAGTTTGTCATAACATCATTTTATAATTTTTTACGGGTCAAAACATCATTTTGTAATTCTTTGTGGACATCATTTCGTAATTTTTTAATCTCTCATATTTTTTCACCTCAGATTTTGCAGGCCATTTTTTTTTTCGTTCACTTTCTAAATTTTTATGAACATATTAAGTCTCAGACTGCAAGGTCATTGATTTGAGATCAATATATGAGAGATATTTTAGGACAAAGTTTAAACAAGATCTCCTAAGTCATCATATGTATTTGTGTCTTCCGATAATAAAGACGCTTTAAGAATTTTATGTGGTGGATCATGACGATGAGAAGTTTCTAAATTTTCCAATGGTGTCAGACCTAAAATTGACTCAAAGTCGTCATCATCAAATGAGTAATAAATTGATGACGTCTTTTGATCCGACCATGCCTTGCTTTTCTCTGATTGTTTCTTGGGTAAATCACTTTGCTCACTTGAATGTGTAGAAGGCAGTTTCACTCCAGCCAGTTTCTCTACTTTTCCAATACTACTTTTTTCACTGGATTCATCACTTGAAAGCCTGACTGATAGAGTTAAGTCATCTTCTGAATTATCCATGTATTTCTCATGTGCCCAAAGGGTGTTGATAACATGGATTTTCCTTGAGTTCATCGGAAAAGCCTGAGGTTGTAAGAACTCTTGCGGTTCATTTAAGAAACAGTCATCCTTCATTTCAATGTCCGTTAAAAGGAGACCACAAGCCCGATTCTCCGTTTGAGGTGAGGAATCAAAGTCTCTCGTAAAGTCAATAGATGGGGCGAGATCAACGATTTTAGGGATTCTTATACTTTTACGACTGGATTTATTGCCGCCTGGAAATTCTAGAGTGCCTCTACGATAAAGTAAATTGGAAAGGCTCCGTTTGATGGGCCACTTAAGAAATGAGGGAGCTACAGAAGAGATCTGACTGACTACTGATACAGGTCTAATCGATAATCTGGACGGTAATCTAGATGGGAGGGAGATTGAGGAAGTGGGAGTGACTGGATCTCCGCAAAATAAAATGCTATCCCCTGAAGCAAAAAATGATTAGTTTAATGAGTTCAGGTAAATAATGGAACAAATCAAACTTGGAAGGGAAGGGGGAAAAAGAAATAGAAAAAAAAAAAACGTGGTACTGGTGAAAATGGTGAAATTTCTTCACATATTTTCAAAGAGGATTTGAATTCTTGATCTTATTTTATTTATTTATTTCATGCCATTAAGCAAGGTAGGAATTGAAGGATCACAGGATGTGTTCCCTCACCAAAAGTTCATGTAAAATGTGTTGAACACATCAAAACGTCCAACATCAACTCATAAAGGAGAATTAGCATTTTCAGTTCACATAAAAATCCAACTATCCGCTTCAGAAAAAACCAAAATCAACATGGGTTACATCACCTTTAAGAACAAACTTAATTATGTCTGCGGTAAGTGATGAGAGTTTGGTTTAACAAACATTTTTTGCTGACTCATGAAATTTTAGCCCTTAAAAAAAAAAAATTTAGCTTCCAAATATTCTTTAAAGTAATTCAAAGCCAACTTGAAATAATTAGACTTTAGATTTTTGTCTGGCAGTTAGTTAAAATTGATGAACACGGAAAAAACTTATTCTTCATTCAAGAATGGAACGTAAAGCATTTTTGTTAAATTTTGATGGAAAAACATATTATTCAGTGATTATAAGTACAAATCACTTTTATTTTGTTGAGTCTGACTCTTCAAAATTGGCCACCTATGTGCAGACAACAATTATATTAAACGATAGAATTGCGCTTATCTTCTGGTCATAAAATCTTTTGCATACAAGGCAAAATTATCAAACAAAATATGACAAAATTGAGATGAAAATTGAAAACTTTCAACCCAAAGGTTTTTACATTCTATCATTATATTTGAAGAATCAGTATCCACAAAATTAAAGTAAACCATTTGTGTAATGTGCAGCCTCATAAAATGAAGAGACGATTCTATCTCAGATTTCTTTACTCTGTCTAATGGCCCACAAAAGTCTCAGTAAAAGCTGTCACTCGGGTAGAATTTTCAGGACAGCACAGAAATTGAGGTAAACTTCAATCTAAACATTTTTTTAATTCATCATTTGTTAGATTTTCTTCTTCTAGATATTTTAATATACTGGAAGACAGCCCAAGGAAAAGAAATTGCAATTCAAAGGGACATGCAAAATATAGTTTTACAAATTTAAGGAGATAAAATGTAAAATGATGACAAATGAAAAAAAAATTATAGAAAAGAAATAGGAAATTGAAGAAAACATGTAAAAATGAGGAAAATATAGAATCGATGTAGAACAGAGATCATGCATGTATATACAGGAGAAAGCAAAATGTAGTGATGAAGCAGTGAAGTTTCATAGTAACAGGTGTTTTTGTGGCTGAAGATTATAAGATGGGTGCTTCATTCAAATTGAATAAGTCTCATAAACGGAACCATTAAAAATGTGTGCAAATTATACACAGTTTTCTTCTCTCAGAATGTTATTTTTGAAATCTACAGATCAAATCCATAATATCTCAATAATGGAGAAGAATTTGCATCAGATAAGTTGGCAGTTGTTCCTTTCTGTTTGCAAGCAATGAGAAATTAAGGGTCTGCATTGAATACGGAAAATGCATGACCACCAGATCTTCTTGTGCTTTTTTTCAGCCAATCAAACACCTGACGACTACTTTTCCAATTCTTATGGAAAATAAAATGGGAAATCGAAACCATATATTTTTTCAGATTCAGTCAATTTTTCGACAAAAATGTGTTCTCTGGTGACTTTGGCATTTCTATTAATGTATTTTATATATATATACGTGCCCATTTTCTCTGAAGAACTTAGAGGATCTTGATTTTTGAAATTTCAATTTTCTTTCACTTGGGTCCATGTTTTTTACTATCCAATCATCTCTTGGATCAAAAACATCAACCCGAGTGGAAAAAAAATGAAATTTCAAAAATCAAGATCTTTGGTGTTTTTTTTTTTAGAGAAAGTGGAATGTACATATATTACACATCAACAGAGACGCCAAATCCTTGAAAGATCAACTGGGTACAAATTTTTGCCAAAAAATTGATCGAATTCGAAAAAAACAAATGGACCTGATTTCCCAGAAATTTTCGATTCCCCGATTTTTCCGAATCGTGTCTGATCGGCTGAAAAAAAGCGCAGGAGGATCTGGTGGTCACGCACTTTCACTATTCGATGACTGTTATTTTCTCTGCATGATTCAGCTACAAGAACACCAATTAAATGAAAAAAATTCTCCTAATCAAATCACGCACACTAAACTGGCAAACACTAGACTGTGATACAAGATGATACATGTGTGCCCACCTCTTGCAGAACTTTCTTGGTTTTGTTTGTTGCCGCCGATCCCCCTAGGGGGAACAGGAGGGGGAACACGGGGGCCAGAGGAGGGGCCGCCGGGACGTCCTTTGAGAACGGAGGGGTAGGAGGGGGTAACGGACACAGGGGACGAGGTTGCTTCGTTGGGTGACGTTGGAGATAGGACGGGAACAGGAGGCGAGGAAGGACTTTCTGCCAGCATGAAAAGAAATAAATGGTCCATCAATAATTATTTAACTACTTTAAGTGCCAGTCGATTAATCGGACGAGTTTCCTATGCTTCCTAGCTTTACTTACTTTCTCGTCTTAAGATTTTGTTCTTCTAAAAAAGTCAAAATTTCTACAATTTTCAGATTCGGTTAAGAGAGCAAGTAAAACATGGTGTCTAGAATTCTTGACCTTGCTCATTTCCCGATTCTCTTGGGAGAAACGATACATTTCTTCAAAGTTCCAAATATGAATATTGATATTCTTTATCTTCCAGCCGGTTCTTTATCTTTCAGTCGATTCTTTAGGGCACCTTTGAATTTTTAATTCTAAAATCATTCCTGATGTTTATATTATCTGGTCAATGAAAGATTCTCAAAGATTTGAACGTTTAAGAGGTCAATAATTGCAGACTTAAATGTTCCTTATCACAATTTATTTTGATACTCAAACAAGCTCTGTATTACTTTCATTCATAAATCTTCGGCAAATGACTGTAACTAGAAGATAACCTTTGGAATATTCAAATCAAGTTAAAGGGAGACATTAGGAACTAGAAATCAGTAGAAAGAGAGCTTCCCTGTTTCTGGAAGAGATTTCCTGATTTTTCCCTGAAATATTTCATTCCCTGATGAATCTCAGATTATCGCGGTCTGGACACCATAGACGAGTTTCATATGCTTTTTAGCTTTACACATTTTTCAACTTAGGATATCGTTTTTCCACAAAAATTAAAATTTCTGCGATATTTAGATTCGGTTCAAAAAGCAAGTAAAAAGACACTCTAGTCTCATACAAACATCAAAAGGGCTGAACTCAAAAAGTAATACATTCCCCACATTATATGGTGCCCTTTCAAGAGGCATGAAAACTTAACAAGCGGTTCAAAAATCCAAAATGACATGGCACTTTCCTATTTTTACTGCATCATAATTTTACACGCAAAAGACTGATGATTTGACTAAAGTTTGCATCGGATGCAATTCTTGTGACAGTAGACTAAAGTGCATGATAACTTTATTTAAAAAAATTTAAAATTAATCTTGGCATAGTAGAATGAAAAATGGCACAAAACTAGAATTTTTTCATGGGATATTCCAAGTGCAGCTGAGAGATAGGAAATTTAGCTGAGACCTCCAGTTAAGTGCTGAGTCAGAGAGTGAAAGAGTTAGCGGTGATTGAAATTCAGCAATGCTAATAGTGAATGTATGAATAAAGGAAGAGCAATTGATAGTTACAAAAAGCCTTTGATGAGTCTAATCGTTTTTTAGATAGACTTTATTCGCAAAGGTAGTGCCTGTAGAAAGTTCTGAATAGAAACGGCACCGTAATTAGAGTTATTTAAATGATCAATTGAAGCAAAAACCATTTTGTACGGAGCAAAACGATTATAAAATCACATTGAGAATTGTGTGTATTCGTGAAATATGTGGTCTGAATGGTCTTCAAGAAAAATATTCGAGTCAACTATTTCAAGAATTTGCACTTTTAGTGGTGTCGTGTAAAATGTTAAAAAAAATCTTTACAGGCCTATCATACAACTTTTTTTCAACCCTAAAGATTGGGCAAAACATCGATGGCCAGAATAAAAAATGCGTTGGTTTATTGCAACGTTCCAAAATGTCCAATTGTGATTTGTTTTTTTAGGAGGGAACCGACCAAAATATCCCCTTGAAATTTTCTGTAAATATATTTAAAAAGTGAAGACAATTCATCAAAAATTGCAAGAAAAGCGGTGGTTTTGTTTTCATTCAAAATATTAAAACATGAGCATAGATTTGTACAGTATTGATTTAAGGTGCGCATTCTTTCAATTGAAGCCATCAATATCGAGAAAAAAGTAAGAAAAACTCATTTAAGATAGAGAGATAGATAGATCATCACTTTTGCGATTCATCTTAAATTGTAATATTTAATTAGAGAATGGAAAAATTTTATGAATCGTAGAATAAGTATTCATTTGCCGATGCAGTGCCAAAAAAAGAAAATAGTTTGATAAATTTGAACTCTAGTTAAGATACTTGGTTTTATAGAGCATTCAACTTTGTCAACCCATAATAGCGTGGGTAGATATTAAGTTTTAAAATTGAAACTATTCCTCTACACCTGATGTTCCTTTTTCCTGGTACTACGAGTGTCAATTGATCCTTTTTACTACAACCGCTCCTGGTGGTATTAATTCAATTTATGAGGTGATAATTACTGATCATGAGTGCTGCTAGTGTTGAGATGAAACACATTTTCTCACACACAAAACCAATACAATAAGTCAGACTTGAGTGAGATGAAGAAGAGATTAAGAAACACCAGAAATAAACTAAAAAAAAGTATGATAAAGATGATAAAAATGGAAGGAAAAGAGCAAAGAAGAGAGGGGGTTGAAAAAACGTTCCGTCGGTTAAAACTTACCCTGTTTTCCTCTACCATTGTTAGCTGAGGATGCTGTCCAGAAGAAAGCAAACAGGCAAACAAAGAAGATTAGATCTTGGTGATTAAAAAGTTACAGTCCACGCTGAGAGGCTGGCAAAGGAGAGGCGGCGTCTAGAGATGGGTCAGTCCATTGTCCAGGGATTAAAACGCAAGAATAAGGTTCATTCGAACAACCCAAGCTTCTTGGATTTCATTTTGCAATTAGGAACTACTATTTCCGGCTCATCCATAAAAATACTTACGAACATAGGAAAACTAATAGTGCATACGTTGTTTCTAAACTGAGCCAGAAATCTTGGTTCCGAATAGCAAAATGTAGTCCCATTGACGAAGCTGCTCACTTGACGACTTCTCTCATCTGCCAAATTTCTCAGCAAGGACTTTAATTTAAAGAGTTGATGTTGGGGTTTTCTGTAAGGGTCAAATTAATTCTTGGTTTTAAATTGTTTAAATATTTCTTGAGATTGGTGGATGAAACAGCTGCAGTAGCACTTATGAGCGATCAAAATCGGGAATGGTTTTATTTTGGTGACTATGATAGACTAGACTGTATAGAGTGACTACAATAGAGGAATAATGATTGCATCGTACATAATTTTTAACAGCTGACCTACGATAAAAATACCCCTTTTTGATGTGCTGATAGGTTGAGAGAGCTATGTAAGAGCAATATGGCAAGATTTTTGCTTAAAACTGAGACTAAAAGAATTATTTTGGTATTTGAGAGTCACCCTCAAAACTAATTATTCGTCCCTATGAAAAATAGAAAGCACAGGTTTTTTTAGCGAGCTATACTTGGACTTGGCCATTAGATCTAACGAGCATGAGGGTTATGTTCGTGAGATTCAGAGATCTGATTTTGATTGCAACATGAAATTTCATGCAGAGAAAAAATTAGGAATTTCTTTAATAAATAAAATTAAATTTCTCTCTGCAAGACATGCTCTCCTGGGAGTTCTTGTGATGTTTCTAATTAGTACTTTAAAGCGATTTTTCATAATAACACGTACTACCTTTAAAATTAGGGTTTGAGGAAGATGGATTGAGTCGATTTATTGATGAATAGTGCGGCAGATTATTGCTTATTTACGGGGGAAAAACCACCTTAATCCTTAGTAATTGGAGAAAAATAAAGCTAGAGCAATTCAACAGGCGTAAATATACCTTCACCTTCAACCATAAAGTGGTCGCTTAGTTCAAAATGTAATCACTTTTTTACAGGTAAAGTAATGTTGAGGCAAGCAAACCATCAGGCATGAAGAAATCAGATGGCAAAGGTTAACTTCACTTTTAACAAGTTATATTCAACAGGCAAAATATTCCAATTTTCAACTTACCATTGGGTTCATTATCTAAGTCAACAGATCTAACAGCCGGCCTTGAAATACTTTTGCGCTTTGACGGGGAGTGTTTAAGGGCTGAAAATACAAAATGTTTTTGAGAGTGAGATGAAAAGATAAGATAAAGAAGTACTATCAATCAAGGATTACCTATGTATCATCAACTTGAAGAAAATGATCTGTTGTGCATTGCATCAGACATCTTATAGCAAACATATGCAGTTTGGTGACTGTTTTCTTGAATTAAAATTTCTATTAAAGAATGTTAAACTTGGCCCCTCACCGTGGCGGAGCTATCTTAAAATATATGATTTATTCAAAGAGTTAAAAACAAACTTAAGGCTTTCCAGTCTACGAGCAAAATGACCGTTCGTGAGGGAGACAATGTGTTAACAAGATACACTGTTGACCGCTCGTGGTAGACAATTCGCTGCCAATAAAATTCAGCCCCTAAAAATGTGGACTGACGACTCATTAAAAATTCAAAAGATTTATCTCTATTAGATGGCATCTTTTCAAATTCAAAATGTAAACAAAACAGGGTCTTATTCTTCTATATTATCTTACATGGGAGAGAAGACATGCAAGATCATTGAAGGGAAGAAAATGAAATTCATAATTTTCAAACTGACATGACAATGACAAATAAGGCAATTAGAGAGGTTGAAGGGGGATGGGACGGTGAGATTATCATAATTTTTGCCCACTGAAACAAAACAAACGATCGATGTGCTGAATACTGAGAGATTGAAAAGTTGCTGGAGGTATAACACAAAGTATTCACAAGGATTAAGTTTGCTCCGAAAATAATAAACTATATCTAGGTGGAGCAGTTCATTGTGAATCTAATCCAACTTTCATGATTCCTGTATTACTGCACTATCATATTGATAGGTCGGGATGATCTGATGTTCAATTATTTAAAAAGATGCATTCTTTAATTGATCACTTGACAATGTGCAAATTTAAGCATTTGGATAAATGTTTCCTCATTAAAATTTCACTCAGAACACAACTTGTGAACTTTAGAACACAAGAGAAATTTTTGAAAATAACTCCTGACCAAGAAATGAACGTGTTTTGATGCATGTATTCAAACTTTGGCTCCAAGGAAAACCATAATTTACTTGAGTTATAATGCACACTAAGCTTTACAGTTACAGCCCGTATAGCAAAATCAATCTCGACGTTTCAGCTCAGCTGTTCGATGTTGCTTACACTTTGAACAACAAAGAGCCAAGAGGAAACACTGCTTAATTGACTCTGGCTTTCCTTATGAGTATAAAATTCAAATTAAACATTTCGTAGCCTAGTCGTTAATATTCTAAGTAATTGAAAGTTTATGTCAGTAATTTTTTTGTGCGCATCAAGTTCTACATGAAATTTTGAAGAAAAAACATAAATTAAAATGCTTGAATTCGTATCTTGTCTACTGGTTCATTTGCTTGATTACTTGAAAATGAAAACACTGAACATTAAAATTAGTTCAATCAAAAATAGTGATAAATGCCTTTATGAACACAAAAAGTCACAGAATAAATCAAGTACATGGTGCAGAATTTTCAAACGAAATTGAATTTATCTCTGAAAAAAGCGAAAGCAGCCATCTTAAACAGGAATAACTGGTTTGAGAGCTGTTGAATAAGTATAGGATATATTTTTCAAACTTCGGAGCAAACAAGCTCCGGTACTGGGAGGCTGGACTCACCAGAGTCATTTTTATCAAACAATTCATTGGAGACAAAGCATTTAAAAAACAGCAAACATTGGGAGTCTGCCACTTGTACATATTAAAACATGAAGATTGAACACACTATGTCATTTATGCTGGCGCCACAAGATAAATAACTGTAGACTGAGGAAATATTTCCAAAGAGATTTATAATGCTTTCTAATAGTTCAAACAAGACTGTGGGCTGATCATTAAAACTGATAGACAAATGGGAAATGAAGCAATCTTATTGGTTGTAACGAGTGGTTCTTACAGACTAAGAGGGAGAATGATAGATTAGCTAATTGGTCCTTTGCGGGTTTCAAATAGTTAGTCTATTGCCTTTGCCCATTACGACCACCTGATTCCACCGATAGGATAGCTCCGTTTTCTCTGAGACTTTTTTGTCCATTGTTTTGGTCTATCAATGTCAACAAACAGCCCGCAGGCGGGAAGAGGAGAAAAAAGTAAAAATAGGATAGAAGAAAAGGATCAATATAGGTTTTAGACGAATGGATACAAAACATAAGACAAATGAACGAGCGTCACAGATGCTACATACTAAAAAAAATCAAAGGAAACCTTCAATGGAGAGAAAAAATAATCAAAGAGCAAGTCATTTTTTCGAGCAAATAGATGATTGACAGATTTGAAATGAAAGATTCACCTAGGTGCAGAGCTCATAGGAAACAACAAGAAAAAAATAACGATAAAATTAAATCGGGAATTTGGGAAAATTCCTAAACATGTGAGGTCGGCCTAGTGACGAAAAAAGATGAACCATTGATGGATTACAATTCTTTGAGTATTTTGAATCAGATTATGAGGTTTTTTTTTTTTTTTAAATTGATGCTGTTGAATACGACAACAGTCTTGACCGGAGCACAGCTTTCCACTCTTAGAAAAATCTTACTGTAAGTACGATAAGGCAAGTATCAGAGCACATGGTGCATCTTCTAACCTACTTTTATCAGGATTCTCACTTTCATTGTTAGTCTAATTTGCTTGAAGGAGAAGCCTGCTAAAATGCTTTGTAAAAAGGGAGAGAGGGAGATCAAATTAGACTCAAAATCGATTAGAGAGATCATTCAGCAGATTTTTTATCAGTTTCCAAGTGTAACACAGTGCTCTCTCCCTGTAATGAATCGGAAATAGCCCAAACAAGTTTTTGTTGAAAAGAAATAATCATTATAACATGGAGTACTGTGATTAACACAAGTTTAAGGAACCTTCATTATAAAGAAATTTTCATTTTAACGGATGTCATATTAAAAAGAAAGTCCTGAAATCCTGAGTCAAAAAGGGGAGGAAAAAACAAATGAAAAAGCATAAATCAAGGGAAAATAAAGTCATGACAGCGACAACAAAAGAAAATTATCCCAACGGAGAAGGGGGGGGGCAGGATAACTACTGACACTAAAAAACAACAGAAAACAGGCGAAACACACACGAAACGGAGAAACATTATTACCTATATAACTGGTGACCAAGGTGCGGAATTTACGATGATTTCCCTTAATTTCAGGCAAGTCCACTGGTCAAGATAAGAAGCAAAGATAGAATAAAAGAGACAGGTAACAAACATGTATATCTTGTATAAATAAGGGTGGAAACTGAGAAGTTGGTACAGAAAAAGGAGCTATTCACGATTGATTAGAGACATACGTAGTAGTAGAAATACTTTGAGAGAAAAACATGAGGAAATTCTAGGTAGGCAAATGAAATACAGAGAGGGGCTTAAGCTAGTATTCTTGGGTGTAATTCAGACACTCTACCTAACAGCATGAACATATTTATAATACGCGTACAAAATACATTGATTGAGAGGGTCAAATCTTCAATACCTATACTGCCATAAGATGATGGGGAAAAGGAAAACGAAACAACATTTGAAAAGAGAGATGAATGGGGGATTTACACAAGCTCATTGAAGTGTGTCTCTTTTTCATACATGTCAATGCACTTTTTCGGGCAATGTTGGATCTTAGCTTACGTTTGCACATTTTCTCTTGATGAAAAAGTGAGCGATAATATAATGGACTGCATGGACTTTTTTCCAAAAATACAGAATTTTTTGATAGGAACAGCAATTTTCGAGAGGACAATTGAGCCTTGGCAGTTGGTTTCTTGAATGACTGATGTGGAGAAAATTGATTCATCGTAAATGTCCATTACTGAAGATTCGATGAATTTTACACTGAGGATTATCAATAAAAATCATGTTAATTGCAACAAACTTTGAGCCCCGTGAGTAAAAATATTCCTATTAAAAATATGGAATGTCAAATAAAGGCGGAATAAAATATAGAACTTACAGGATGGAATTTTCTTGAACACCGTTTTCGCCATGAAATCTTGAAACCTTTGTGCATAAAATCCTGGTCTATGAACAGAGACTGAATCCTATGGAGAAAAATAAAAACAAAATTTGATAAGAAAAAGCATTAAAATACTGGAGGAATAATCATTATGAAAGCTCATCACTGCATAGCAACATTTCGTATTATCCTAATTTGATGACAATTTTTTCCTTGTTTCTCCATTAACATTTTTTTTTTCATTATTGTGATTGTTTTTTTTTTTTTTTGTGATGGGAGAGAACAGTTAGAAAATTTTGGTAAATGAGCTTTGTTTATCCTGTTGCAAGAGATCAATATATACTGACAAAGACAGAAATCTGACATGAGGATCAAATCAGCATATTTTAATGCATGAGATAGTTGATCCTTCTGAGCAATCAGATGAAATTAGAAAAGTGACTTGACTTCCATTCAGAGATAAAAAAAGAGTGAAATTTAAAAATTTCCTGTTCTTGTTGGAGACCATGCCAAATAAAGTAACTCAGAGGAACGCATGACATCAGTTTAGCTTACATACCCTGTCCCAAAAAGTACCCGGACTGGTTCTAGAACTTCAAAACTACAATAGGTACAGACATGATCTTGGTTTCATTTTAAAGATCAACTCAATATTTATCGATTAAAACCAAGATCAGGGCAATCGGATAAAAATTGACCTAGTAATGGCAATTTGAAATCAGTGAGTAAAGTTTACCCCTACGGTTTTTAAGGAAGATTCCTCATCACCATTGATATCAAATGTATGATGTGGTATTGTGTTTTCACCCAAAAATTCCATGTAGTGCTACAACAACCTGGCAACATTGCCGTGTGTTAGTCGGCCGTTGCCAGTTGTTGTCGTCTGTCTTTGGGCCAAGAGTCCAAAGGACAATAATCTCCGACCGACCAGGCGCACCCTGAACGGGTAGAATGCACCTGCAGTCGGCCGCACCTAAAAACTTCGTGGGTGCTCCACCAAGACAATGCGCTGCCTCACACCTCGAACTTTACACGTAATTTTGAGTAAAAATGGAGTTAAAACAATCCTTCATCCCTCTTACAGCCCTGACTTGGTTCTTTGTGATTTTTGGATGTTTCCTGCGCTTAAGAAAAAGTTTCACAGACAAAGATTTGAATCGAGGACCGAAATCCAGAATGCAGTTCCGAACTTTTTCAACTCCATCCCAGAGGAAGAATTCAGGAAAACAATGTTAGAGAAGTAGCAAGAGCGCATGAGTAAGTGCATCCGATTTAATGGACGGTACTTTGATTAGCAAAAGGAAGTTATGGAGGATTCGGAGGAAAGCGGAAACGGAGATTAATTTTTTTACTTTAAAACCCGTGGGAGTAAACTTTACTCACTGATTTTAAATTATCATGACTCGATCAATTTTTGTTTGATTGAGCTGATCTTGGTTTTAATCAATAGGAATTAAATTGATCTTTAAAATGAGACCAAGATCATGTCTGTATTTACCGTAGTTTCGAAGTTACAGAACCAGTCTGGGTACTTTTGGGACAACCTATGTAGCAATGAAAGTAAATGCAACAATCAAGATGAAAGATCTTCTTTCACAGTCTAAAAGTCCATAAACTTCTTTGGTATAGACTCTACAGAGAATTGCAATGCTGCCCCGCATGGACCAAAAGAGAGGTAGAAAATACAGAGTGAAAGCCTCAAAAAAGTGTTTCTCAATGGTTAATCAATCATAGATCAAATGCAATGGCAAGGAAAATTCGACTAATTAGCAAATCAGATCTTAGATTCACAGGATTGACATTACATTCTTCATTTTTCCAATATCCTGTCATTATGATAGGAATACTGAGGAATAATCAACTTACCTTGCACAATTAGTAAAAAGATAAATACAAATAATGTACAAAAACAAAGTACTTACACCATCGTACAGAATAGACTTCCACGTGTGCTCCAATTTTTTCCTAAGCCGATAACTTTGTAAAATATCTATGATACCAATGAAGAGCAGGAGTCGCTCGCCTTTCCCATTTCTTGCAGGAATAGCACCGGGACTGCTAGCGCCAGAAAAATAAAAAAGTGAAAATGAACATGCGAAAAGTTTCCAGGGACAAGAAAGTTAATGCTCAAGTGAAAATCATCTGACAGAAGACTGTCCGTAGCTCCTGCTTGCACCATCAGTGTCACGGGCACTGCAAGTTTTGTAACTTACGTTTCATTTCATCAAGAATATTTCTCCCTTGGTCATTAGTGATGGCTGGATTAGAGGACTTTTCAGTTTTATTTCGAATTTTCAGCTTTATCTTCCAGTCATCACCTATAAATCTAATAACCCTACTTGAGACTGATAGCTCCACTGATTACAGCCAGCCAATCATACAAGGCCTTGTTGTCTCACCACCGAGCCCCTGAAAGTGGCTGAATGTACTGATAAAAAAGTATCCAGTTCTTTATTTTCTTAACCAAATGTAACAATGAAAACAGTTCTAATTCCAAAGAAAAATTAATAGTTTTGAATGGATTTAAAATGAAAATATAAAGCTACTAACGGAACATCCTCTTCTTCATCGATGGGTTCGCTTTCTGCCTGTATACTTTCCATTGCTGTGGAGTGTGCTACGAGCCTTTGTCTATTGATAGATCTTGTCCGATTCAACGATACAGACCCGCTGCTCGGACCACCCGCTTCATCACCTTCTACGTGCATTGAATTTTTCTTCTGTTCCTAAAAAATTGAATATTACATCGGTAAGAAATTTTGACAGAGATATAAGAAAATTAATGCTAAAGCTTGTGACTACCAGTGAGAAAAGAGGGCAGGGTCCACAAAAATTGAACAAAAAGAATTGTTGATATCGGAGCAAACAAGCTCGACAGTGTAAAACCAAACCAGAATTATAAAGGTTTGAAAATGTAAAATGCAAAAAACGTAAGATTTTGGATTGCTTGAAAAAAAAGAATCAAAATAATTTAATTCCGTTTGCCATTCTTGGTTTTCCACTTCAACAAATTTACATATCAATGGCTAAAGAATAATGTCACTTATCTGCAAACTGACGATTTTACAGGACAAAGGAAAAACTTGATCATTTTTGTAAGTCTGAGGTTAGGTTTGCATAATTTTTTCTTTCTTTTTTTTCTAACATTACAGCGTTATTACAGCACTCCGATGCAGAACTGGAAAAAACTAAAAACATTAGCTTGCATAATTTATTCTATAGAAAACAGCACCATTGCTGACTCATTTTTGGCAAAATTTTCAGTCTAACGGTATTGTCCCTTAACCATTGATATACGAAATGCTGGGTACAACAAAACATTTAGATACAATTTTTAAACTTTTGAAGAAAAAGAAAACATCAAAAGAAAACAGAAAAAGGACAGCTACTAACCACTAAAAAAACACTTTCAACAAAAAGAACGCCTTCTTGCAATGGATAATAGAAAAAATTAAGATAATTGACGATGAACATTTTTCAGTGCAGGTTGCACATCCATGCAACCACAGAGATAAACGCTGACATTATTTATAAATTTGGCAATCTTTATAAATCTTGTAAAACATTTCACAGAAATTTCCGATCTTCTGTATGTTTCTGTTGTTTCATGCCCTACCGTGGATGCACAACCAAGAGCAGGAGGCTTAGCGGAAAGTGCATATCACACAATTGGAGACGCTTCATACAATTGTGCCAACTCCCTGTTGAGATCCCTGTTGCTGTTTCATGTAATCATGAAACATTGAATTCTACAGAATGTATGCGCTATGTAAAATGCTCCTCACCTTCAAAGACCATTTTTTGAACCATCCAAAAATGCAACTATGCCCCTCTGATTCTCACCCTTTTATTTATTTTTATTCACTTTAGTTCTAAAGATTGTGATCAAACTTTAAGTATTAAAATTTTGCATTACAAGTTTTACACAATTTTTCAATCTTCCTCCATCAGAAGGATTAAAATTTTCTCTTTTGCAATGATTTTATGATTTCTGGTCTGACTTTAGCGTCATTTCAAAAACAAAAGCATTTTTTTTAACTTACCAACTTCTCTCGTAAGGCTTGGTCTAAATTGTGAATACCAAGGAGCAAACTATAATCCATAATTTTAAAACTTTCTAAGACCTGCAAACAAAACAATTTGAAATTAGATAAAAATCAATATGAGAAAATGAAAATAGATTTTCTGTGCACGTTCAAAGATTGTAGCATTAAATAGGGACTATCAAAAATACATTTTGGAGTTTAAGCTCTTACATTCTATTGGAGTCTTTGACTATTGTCTTTTATTTTCTTCCTTTCTATATGTTCAAGTCATTGTAGGTATTGGAAGGAATTCCGACAACTGACAAATATAAGAGAGAGAGAGAGAGAGAGAAATTCGGCCTTTCAAGTTGGGTTAATGGTCAAATATTTTACGATCTTATATGTCTCCTTGGGAGGATCAGAGGATCGATCCGTTTAAACACGGAATCCATTATGTACATAATATTGAGGTTTTACAGTGCATAGGTGATGGATAATGTCTAGGGCTGTGCGAATAGTGAATTTTCCGAACGAAGCAAATAGCGAGTAATTTCGGCAACTATTCGCGAATAGCGAATAATTGAAGTCAATTATTCACAGCTACGAATAATAAAACGAATAATTGGAAATGGCTTTTTTAAGTGTAAAAATTCGCGAATATTACAAAAGTCGACAAATAAAAACGTGACTAATTTTTAAGAATTTTCCATTTGCTCATATGCCTGCACAGAAAACAATAAAATGCTATGATTAGCCTAGGCTGTTAAGAATTTGTTCGAAGATCTCTGGACACTGGCTTGACTGTCCTTGCAGTTACATACGCATTTTCAGGATTTGAAGGTAACTGCGCGGGCAGTCAAGCTAGTATCGAAGCATCACTAGACACATTTTATTAGTATTTTATTTTTATCGCTGTGAATAAAAATGTGTTTATGAACTTTTTTTTTCAATTTCAGAAATTTCTGTGTCTTTCAATCCTTAGTTTGGGATCTTTGCTTATTCCCCCAATCGCAATCGCGTTCGCTGTTCGTAAACTCGGCAAAGTCGGTAAAGATCAAAGGAGATCCGCCGTTTGCGATGTCTCGGGTGGAAGCCGGAGTCTTGCCCAGGTCCTCGCAACTCTTCACGATTGCCACTCGGAAATTCGTTATTTTTGATGGCGCGAATATTTGAAAATTCATTCCTCGTGACGGCGCGAATATTTGAAAATGTCAGTTCAAAAATTCACTATTTGCGACGGTGCGATTATCCGCAATTTGCGAATAGTGCGCGAGGCAGACAAAGCGAATATTCGCGGCGCGAATAGTCGGAATTGCGAATATTTGCACAGCCCTAATAATGTCATAGAAAAATACCTTCGATTACTGTAAAAAAGAAAAATCTAGCTTTCAACAGAATTTAACTGAAACTTACTCTACAATCCCGTTGGATAGTTTTGTTTAGCGCAGTGTAAGTATCTGCCTCTAAGAATATGCCATCAGGATGGTGTTCCATAAAATCTAAATCTTTAAACGTGGGCGATTTCTTTTGTCGTTCTGCTTTTGAAGCCTGGAAAAGAAGCAAAAATAATTATGATAAGGATATTTGTAAAAAAAATTCGAATGAGAGACCAACTTAGACAGCTATGAGAAATCGGCAATGATTTTCCCATGTTACTTCTGCTCTGCCGAGATAAACACAGTATGAGCCTTCAGCCAAATTTCCTCGTTTAAATTACGAATTTTCAGGGAAATCTGTTAAAATGCTTCCTCCCATTTTTCAGAGAACTTTATTTCCAATCAGATCTAAATTATCTGAAAATTTCAAGAGAAAATATTCATAACTCTCCTTAAAAAATAACGTTTCATTGGGATCAACAGTTTTTTGTGGCGTTTCTCTATAGCATGGCAGTGCTAGTGACCGTCAATGGGAAAACGGACTTCAGTACCAAAAACTTAAATTCAAATCAGTCTAATTACAGTGAGGAATGTATTTAGGAGTTTTTGGCATAAAATATGCTTAAACACATAAACTGAACCTCAGCTACGACAGATTAAAACCTGTGATTCATAATTATAGTTGAGTGAAAAATAAGTTTGAATTTTTTTCCTCCCTTTGTCAAAACTCGATGAAACTGGATTCAAATTATCATTCACTAATTTTGGTGCAGATACCTACATGATTTACAATTTAATGAAGCAGAGAAGTTATTTTACGCCATGGCAATAAATAGCATTATTAATAAGAGAGTTCATGAATTACCTTTCGTTTGTACGTCGAGCCTTTCAGATCATACTTCTGATGCAGAGCAACGTAAGATGGAAGTAAATTATTCATAGCAACCAGTCTTATGTTCTTTGAGTTACACTGAAAATCAAAATTAAGAGAATAAAAACTTGATTCTTGAAAGACTACAAAAGCTGTGTTGGAGAAAATGTGTGGCTACAGAAGCTCACACCACAACGTCTCAGAAAACATAAAGTTTTTCTTACATTTTTCAATTTTATTGAAATGAGGTTTAGACCCTGGACTTCATTAAGGGATTATAAAATTGTGATTGGTAGAATGATTTAATATTACAAAGGCCTAAAAATAACTACAACTTCTGGATATTTGTATTTCCAAGTACAACATATTCATACCTTAGATTTTAACTTAACGATAGACCTTCTCTCAAATACAGTAATGTGCGGTTAAACTATTTGGGAAAAAAAAGAAAAAAAAGGTAAGTACATTTTCTGATCTTTCACTTCCTTCCTTCCTTCCTCTCTTGCTTTGTAAGTCAAACTTTCAGAAATAAATACAGTGAAAATTTTGATCATAGGTACACGTCTGGCCAGAGGCCAAGGAATGTAACTTCACAAATAACGTAGAAAGATTTACGGTATTGACAACTTACCTGATAACAATAAAGTCCAAAAAATTTGGGTAACAGAGTGCGAGGATTTTGATTTAAATTCTGAAAAATAAACAAGGCAAACTTTGTATGACTTTGGAAGGGCAAATGAATAAAAATATAGGAAAGAAGATACAGGTAGAATACAAAAAATACGGGTGAAGGAAGTTAGTAATAAAAAAAAAAAAATGTTCTTAATTTGGAGTAATCAATATTTCTTCATTTTCTTAGATTTTTATTTTTCGTTTTTCCGTTTGCAAATGTAAATAGTTACAGCAAGAAGAGTGGCCATGCCTAATACTTTCGTTTTTTACTTGTCCTGAGATCCCAATATCGGGAGGAATGCTACATAAGGAAAGATCTTCTACCAATAGATTTTACCTATGGTGAGGTAAAGACTGACCATGAAACTGATTATGCGGGAAAAACTCGAGACTGAAGCATAAAAGTTCCTTAAGAAAATATTCAAAATCAGTGCTCCATGATGCTTAAATTATCTCATTCTTTTAATCAAAAGAAACAAGTTTAAACAAACGTAAACTGCAAAACTCAGACTAGCAATTAATCTCCATTGCACAGAAAATGGACATGCCATGATTTCCTAAGGCTTAAAAGAGGGTACAAATCTCATGAGTGATTTCCACTTACCATGTAATAACCTGGAAGTAATTTTTGAAGAAACTCTCCTTCTTTATGTTGAACAGTTTTCATGATGAACTCATCATCTTCGGTTACGTAAAATATGGAGCCGCTGGCACCAGGATTGGAAAGTTCTCGTAAAGGAGCACTACAAAAGGATATCTGAAAAATAAAATTTGAAACTTAGTACATGCAGGCAAACTTCAAGGGGCAAATTGGAGATATTTAAAATAAAAAATGATAAATGGGAACTTGCTTGAAAGGAAACAGATGTAAATTAGCAGAAATTAGGATTTACTGAATTGTTGTGTATTAGTATAATGCATGTAAAATGAAATGATGAAACCCAAAAAAATGAGGATGTCCTTGTAATGAAATATTTTTCATGAAAAAATAAAATTAAATCTCAGATTAGGTTAGAGCTTTTCAGTTTTTTTTTTCATGAAATTTTATGTAAAAATAACTATGCTACAATTCTGCAAAAATTCCTCTCCATTACATCATTCTAATACATTCTTTAGTTCGTTCCCTTCAGTTTGTTCCCTTTCCACAGAAAGTTATTTTGTCATAAGCTGTTATACTTACCAGAAAATCATCAGGTTGAATTCCAAATAAATCACGGAAGTATCTAAATGCAATGGGCGCATAAGTCTTAAAGGTAAATTCGGAGTAATGATGAGCTGGAGTATGATTCGACCCATCAGCTGCAAAAACTGTCGTTTCAACAGTCATGAAGTCTTGCATAAGTAAGTCGCGTTCGGGCTTGGACGCTAGGCCACCAACAGCATGTTGAATACCTAGCTGTATAGATCCCATGATCTGACTGGTTTGGATCTGAAAGGACAAAACCAAAATCATTAGTCAGAGCAAGACAATTCTAATAAAAACAAGTAACCAAGCGAATCAGCAATTAGATTCAACTTCGGACTAAAGATATGAGGATTGGAGTAAATCTGTACTTCATCAAATACCGAAACCAAAAACATTTCAGCCCAGTGCATTGTTCTGAAAAGGGTAAAGAAAAGGCAACCTTATAATCTGCTAGATGTTATCTTCTCTTGCAATGTGTTTTTTAGAGACCATTTAAAACAACAGACAGAAAAAAGCTAGCATCCCATTACAGTTGCGCTTCATTATACTCCAGCTCTTTAAAAAAGGTTCATTCATACAAACCGTCTTTATCACAATCAGATAATTAAAGGGACAGTCCAACTGGGGGCTGGATTAAGAAATGTTTAGACGGCTGCTTGACAAGCCGGTTGACGAGCTTTTTAAGAACAGTATAATCAGCACTGACTGATACCGGCAAATTGGGGGAAACAGTTACATGTATACAGCTAGACAAACCGTCTGATCTCGCCTTTAGAAGCAGAACCATAACTTTACTTTCGGTTTTACCTTTTTTCAACAGATGGCTAGGCATTGGTTGGCAGACAGAGCAAAAGCAGTTCCAGTTTTTGTATAAAACCAAATATGAACACAGCCACTCTTGTATTAAATCTGCTTAGTTATAGCAAATAAAGCTACTTATCATTCAAAATTATTCCTTTGCAATCTTAGATCTTCCTCTGATTTGATAACATCATCTACAAAATTCAACAGAATTCTGAACATTTTCTACGGTATTATCATCTTAAACTGTCACACTTCATTTGCTAGAGCGGTAATACTACCTATTTGCATGGTGTTCCACAGAAACAACTTCAAGAAAATAACTGTTCTCAAGTTGTACTGACCTGTACCAAGCCTCAAAAGGCTATTGTATTGCGAAAAAAAATAAAATGAATTGAATTGAACTAACATCAGAAGCTTACAGAAAGTAAATGTGAAAAAAGTTGTTGATATGAGGGAAACATACCTTTTTATAAGTAATCTCTCCACCAACGCCCACTCTTCGGTGTCCAATTTTCTTCCCTTTCTCGAGCTTCTGTCTTGCCATAGTTCCATTCCTTCTGCCGATGGAACCCTAGATAATAAACAAGGAAATACTTTAATTGCGCCAGGAAACATCATGTAGATAGAAACCAAAACAAAGAAAAAAATACAAGGAATTGAAAAATAGGGAGAAAAAAGAAAATGCAAACAAAATACAAATAAGGAAATTTCTGCAGAAAAAGTTGAAAAGAAAATGCTAAAAGATGGGCTGCTCTTCAAAAATGGGATACTTAATGTGCTTGTCTTTATTTTTTATAAGGACTCATAAAAAACACTCTAGGGTTTATATGTCAAGGATAAAATGAAAAACTAATGATAAAAAAAAAAAAAAAATTAAAAACAAAAACCAAACAAGCAAACAAAGGTAATAAGGAAAAACCACAAACACACGTGTCTATAGTACGAGACAACATGTTTTTATATGCAGTGGAAATGGAAAAATTGTCATTTACTCAGAATGAACTGGCTTATTTTGATCGGAGCGACCCAATTTTTACGGAGTAGACTATGAAAAACGGAACTTACACCTAAGGTTTCAGTACTCTGATCATCTCCACTTACATCTGAAAAAAAAAGAAAAAATATAAATTAATATTTCAGTTTTAATAGGTACCTAGTTACGATTCTGAGGAGTAATTTTCTATGAACCTTTAATTGATAGAAAATTTACTTTGATAAAATTTTTTTAAAAATAAAATTGCAAATATTTCCTTACTTTGGGCTAATTTTCTGAGCAATTCATTGGATGATAAGTAGCCAAAAATATTAAGAGAAATGTTGTGGAATTTTTCATGAAAGGGCATATTGATTGAAAGGGATTGTTAAGTGTTTTAAAATTCCCAAGATTTTTTTCCTTAGCATAGTCAATAGATTGATGTTCAGAGCAATGCTTTGCAAGGGGTGACTATGTGAATTTTTATTGGCATTGGAGTACTTCTATTATTGTATTTTTTTTTTGTAAAATCTGGTAAAAAAAAAAAATATGAATGCAAAAGGACTAAAACGACGGTTTAAGTCGGCGATCTCATAACTCGGTTTGCAACGTCGCAGACTTCCTGTCATACTTCATTTTTTAAACAGAAAACTACTCAACAGCGATTCTATAAAACTGCCATGATTTGTTTTCTCTGTGCAAAGAAAATTCTGCATTAACTTCAAGGAATGATGTCAATTTATTATTCTTTAAAAAAATAACATAGAGGCGGAGATTTTCAGACACCACAAACGAGATATGCGATTGCGGACTTACGCCGTCGAAAACTTTCCATATTGACAGTATTGCTTATAGCTGTCGGTTCAAAACTTGAGTATATTCTCTCTTAAACTTGATTTGGTTCATGTAAAAGAGAAAAAACACTTCTCAGAGGTTTTGGGGATGAAAAATTGAACATGACATGTACGTCGTACGTCTCTCTACATTTATCCCTTGTTCTATTGTTGCATGATACTTCTATAATAAATATGGTTATACAAGACCAAAAAGCTATCGACATACTTGATAAGTTATTGATGAAATTACCTACTTTGTGCTCTATTTTGACATTTTAATTAATAACTTGATTTCTTCAGGATTGGTTCTGATTGAACCACTGATTGATAGATAAGTCATACTGTTGGAAGGATTATTGAGCGACAGTCTGTTGAAAGTAGATTTACGCCTGAAGAGATGTAAAAAGAGAGCTCAGGAGCACATTGTTCGGTGGATTCAAGATTTATTTTTCACGATGTGAGAACAGCTCACTTCATTCCCACACAGTCTCTATCAATTCTATGAGTGGAAGCCATTGTGTCTAACTGTTCAATGGTGTTTTAAAGTTAAACTCAGGATCACAAATGGTGAACAATGTGCCTGATAAGGATCATTGAAACTGATCACCTCCTGCCACCAGTGACGTAACTTTGCTTGTCAGTGCTGTCTTCTCTGACATAGCTGTCAATGCCAACACCAAAACCAGTACCAAACCCAGCTGCATACTGGTCGATGAATTGACTTTTCTTATACATTTGACATTTAAATACGGATGTAACCCGAGCCCAACAAAAATCGGGCTTTTAGCGCCTGACTGACTAAATCGAACTGAGTCACCCTGTCCTTGTACCAATTAGAACGTTCTGTTGATAAACAAAGGGGTTTACTTGGTAAAATCTTGCTTCTAAGTTCATGTTAGGTGTCTGAATTCTTAAGCGGTGACTGGTAGATTTCCACAGATCAATCAGAAGATTTATCGATCAGCGAAATAATACAATCTGACCTTTCATACAATAATATCCAGAAATCCTTCAACTGGACTGCCTATACAAATCCATAAACAGTGAAAACGGCATAATCAGCACGACTTGACTTCCAAACATAATATAGTTTTAGCTTGATGTTCACAGGAAACCTTCAACTTTCATCAGAGATTCAGTGTCGTGATAAGAGAAATAGGTCTTGCCTATTAACAGTCCGTTACAAGATATGAGAAACAACCCTCAATTCCCTTGGTAAAATATCATCGTAGGTGTTGTGACAGCTTATCTGCTTCATCTAGAAGTTTTTAGTTACTGACACCCCCAAAATATTCGCACACAGACAGTAAACACAGCGACTCCATATGATGACCCAATTGGACTCTCCTGATAGACACTATCTGCAAGGACACAAGATAGGAATGTCTGGATAAATTATGCATGGAAAATGTAGTCTGAGTCATAATGTATCTCAAACAAATGCGTGGGTGGATAGACATTGATTTCATTTCACAGTTCAACTCAAGTTCCTTCTAATCAATCAATGACAGTATGAACTAACCAAGAGGGTCAACATAAGAGTCTCTACGGGCCGACGGGAATTGAGTGATAAGATGTTAGTTTCTTACCATCTTCGGTATTTTCATCGTCTCTATATTCGCTGGGGACTCTGTCATTTCGAGACGACGAAATAAAACTGGACTCAGCGACTTGGATCTCATCCACATCTCCGGAAGCCATTGTGACCTCTTAATTAAAAACTAATGTATGGACGATCAAATATCACGAAACGAATCACAGAACGCAACTGCATAAGATGTCATGTTTGTTTTAACTGAACATACTGAGAAATTCGGGAAACTTTACATTCCTGGCGAAATAAATTGGCCCCGACGGCCAAAACGATACACTTCTCGCGGAGCAAAACAAGTAAGGTGGTTTGATAATAGAGGTGTGACTGTGTAGACTCATTGAATTTTCCTCCACCATGTTGTGACGTCAGAGCCGGTGAGATCGCCGTTGAGTTTCAGATGGGTCGCGCGGTCGATTCATGTATTGATGGTCAACTACGATTGATCCTGAAGGCGCTTCCAATTGAGCCAGGGTAGCAAAATTTCAGGAAAAATAGAATCGTCAAATATTCAATGAAATTGTGTAAGACACATTTCAAATTGAAAATTGGCACAAATGATAAGCAGAAGGGAACAGCGCAATTACAGTGTTATGAAAATTGTGCATCTTCATCTTCATCAAAAAAAAGTGCTGAGAATGGCGAATGGTTTTTGCATAATTTTTTTTTTTTAATTTTAAAGAAAAACAGTCTTGAAAATGAGGGTACATAGTATTAGAATTGTGTATAATTTTTAAAGGAGAGAAGAAGATGTACGATTTTTTAAACACTTTAATCGCGTTAGTTCCCTTTTACTAAATGCTTTACAAGTAAATGATCGTCAAAACGCTGCAAAAGTTGTTTAACTCATAGATGAAAAACACATTTTTTCACACGCGAAGTCCTAAGTCGGATCAAATTGGCCTGTACTTAAATGCGATGATTTTGATAGTTTTTAAGTATCATCTATTTCTGTATTTTTGAAGATAAGAAATACTTTTTTTTAAGTTTTCACCTTTTCGGTAACACATGCTGGCGCTTTTTTACCCCCTCCTCTTTTGCCTCAAGTAACTCCCCCGAAGGAGGTAGTCGGGCCAATCTGACCCAGCTCGGGATTTCTAGGGTTTTTAGGGCGGTTATTCATCATGAAACAATTCCCTGACATGGCACATCTCTCACCGAAATATCAATTTTTAGCCGCTTTAGGGCGTTTGATTGAAATATTTCTAAATACCCCTTCCCCCAATAATTATTTAATAATCGCCTGATTCTTAATCTCAATTACAGAAAAGTAATTTTTAGCTTCTTTTTCAAAGTTTGTAGTTTCAAAGTTATGCGTTTTCATGGAAAGGCGGCAGCACCACCACAAGAAAGACACACGGGAACGAGCACAATACTACCGTATTAAGGAAAAACGCCATATGGACCTTCAGGCGTTGCCAAATTTCCTTTAATAAAACAAGAATTTCCTGGTAAATTTATGAATATTTTCCTTTCGATTTTTCAGTTGATTTTGTGGGCAATTTCAACTAAAGTTCCTGAAAATTTCAAGGGAAAATATTCATAACTTTCCTCAAAAATAGACATTTTATCAAAGGAAATGTGGCAACTCTCGAATGTTCATACGGCGTTCTTCTTTAGAACGGAAGAATACATGTAGAAATGAAGCAAGGGAAAGGATGCGCATTGATGACGGCGCGGCGCAGGGATACAACTATTCGTACTTGATGGATGTCAGTGTTGCGTCTGCAAAATTGAAGGCGCGATGGCACGAGGCGTGGATTCGCAATGATTCCTTCTATACTGCTAATGAGGTGTCGCTCAGATTCGTGAGAAAGTTAAAAAACGAGGGCCCGATCGTGTCTCTCCTACCTGCGGCTAAGTTACGGACAGCCCTTGAAGCACCACTACGAATGACACAAGCCGAAACAAACATATCATGGAAATAGAGCATGACGTGTCTTGACGACGGCGCAGAGATACAACTATTCGTACTTGATGGATGTTCGTGTTGCGTCTGCAAAATTGAAGGCGCGATGGCGCGAGGCGTGAATTCGCAATGATTCCTTCTATACTGCTAATGAGATGTCTTTCAGGATTCGGGAGAAAAGGTAAAAAACGAGGCATGAATTGGGCCCCCCTATAGCTATCTTCGATTGTGTTAACTTGTCGGTCTACTCACGGACATTGTCGATTGATTCGCTGGTTTATCGATTGACTCACGGATTTTGTAAATCGATTTGTCGGTTTTCCGATCGATTCACTAGGTTTGTCGATCGATTCAAGGGGTGGATTGAATCGAGTCATGTCGATTGGCTGAGGATTTCAGTTTTTGATCAAATGGACAATTTATTTTTTATTTATTTATTTTTTTTTTAAGAAAAAATTTTGACGATCGGTTTACGTCGATCGATTCTCGTTTTAGTTCTCGATCGATTCATGCCGGTCAAGTCCATTCCATAGCCTCGATCTGCTTCCTATACCCGATGCAGAATATCGTTCACTTAGGTTTGCCTTCATTTTCACCTTAAAGGCATTATATCAGAGCGAATACTCGAGAAATAACACATTTATAGGTTTAGCTTCATCATTGGTCCAATATCTGATATTAGTAATAATAAAGAATACAATTTTAGAAACATGGAAGTAGAACTTTCATTATAGATGATCATATCGATAGCTAAAGTGCGAAACTGTTCATCTTAATGTGGTGTTTCAAAATATTCGCTCCTATTTTATTTTTCTTTAAGGAAAAAAAGGCAACTTGGTAGCTTAAAATTTTTACCGAATATTCTGCCAACGAAGAAGAAAAATCTGGGACTTCCTCTGGAAATTATGTTGACCAGTTTTCCAAGGAAACAATTAAGTATGACAGAAGGTCTGAAACCAGAGGCGGATCCAGCAATTTGGCAACACCGGATTTCCTCCATTTAAAGCTATGCTAAATAATCGATTATTGTCGGAGCACCTGGCCCCACCAAGAATCGATACATTACCATACGTTTAAATGGAGAAAAACAATGTTGCCGATTTGCTGGATCCTCCAATGTCTGCAACGCCGCAAACGGAGATACGTGGTTTCGCACTTTGCTGTTAATATTCAGCCAATGAATTTCCAGAACGTAGGGAGAGCCATGCTGGTCGAAGAATACGACATAATTTGTAAATTTCACGCATCAGTTTTCTATTTATTTCATTTCTAGTAAATTAAAGGACAGAAAATGCAGAACGCACTGGATATACCACATGAGGGACTCGATAAATTTTTCGGCGTCCTCCCCTGGGTTCTTCTTTAGTTTCCCGGGCTCTCTTCAAGTCTCCCCTTAAAGTGCTCTCAAATTCATCCCGCACTACATAAAATATTTGTAATTTGCAAATCCAGCATTGTTAAGGAGAGTTGAGAGCCCAATCTGCCACGCTAAGGAAAAACGCCGTATGAACCTTCAAGTGTTGCCAAATTTCCTTAGATAAAACGCAAATTTCCCGATAAACCTGTGAATATTTTTCTTCCGATTTTTCGGAGAATTTTATTCGTATTTTGATGAAAGGTTCCTGAAAATTTTACGGAAAAATATTCATGATTTTCCTAAAAAACATACACTTTATCGAAGGAACTTTGGCAACTCTCGAATGTTCACAGGGCGTTCTTCCTTAGCACGGCAGTCTTCACCGCGTATTTACTGGTGCTAAGATACACTTTTCTTAGGTTCTATTTAATAGAATTGTTTCAATCTTTAGACTTCTTTCCAGTTTTTAACGAATTTTTTTTAAAACTTCTGAAATCAAAAATGTAATGAGTTGGAAAAAAACATCGGAAAATTGAAAAATATCGCGTTAACTTTTGTGACGTCACCTGGAGAATAAATTATATAGGCATACGCACGCTTACCATCAGGTCTTGCAAAAATTAAGAATAATAACAGGATATTAACAATTGTTTTATTGTATTCTTCACAGTCCATACAATAAAATACATTAAACTTACATTGGTGGTTTAAAATAATTAAAAAAATAAAATCACTCTTAAAACAGATAGCAGGCACCTTTGACAATTCAGATAGTGCACTCAAAAGTGCACGTAGGCACTACTGCCGGCACTACGTGCCGTAGGCGGTAGGCATTACTTTACAGCACTTTACTTAGTTTAAAAATCATGATTACAGCTAATATGAGGCCTTCTGGGCCCTAAAATTAGTCAACGAATTTCAGTGCTCAAAAAATTATCTGCATAACAAGTTTTGTTTTTTTCAATATTATGTTTCAAACCTCTAGTTCAGCTTTAAAACTGTATCGTGTGATGAAGATATTAGGTATTGCGCATGCCCGAAGTTGGGCCCCGTGCTATTTTGGCCGACAATAATCAGTAAAAGTAGCATATTTTGTCATGCCTTAGCTGCAATTTGACCACTAAATGATCGCACAAAGTTGTCTGATGATTATTTTGAAGTATTTTATTATATTTCATAACATTTTCAAAGGAGATTAATAGGTAACTTACAATATGTATCCCTGGTAAAAATTGGCGACAGGAGCTGCGTTTCAAAATACCATAGAAGTTCTTATAGCCGACTAAAGAAGGCTATTGAAAATCATATAGCTGGCTGTAGAAAGCGGAGCAAATCATACAGCCGGGCTATGCGGAGCTATAAAAAATTATACAGTCGGGCTGTAGTTCCTATCGCCGGGCTTTACACTTTATCGCCATTGGCTATAAAAGGCTATAAGAAATTGTGTAGAAATTCGTGTGCCTTGAAAATCATTAAGTTTCTTATGGAACTACCTTAATATTTCCTAACACTATTATGTAGCCTAACACAAAGCGGAGCGGCGACGCACTGGCGCCTACAAACCTAACAGGGATACTTCACGCATTGCGCAATGCGTGAAGTATCCGTGTTAGGTTTGTAGGCGCCAATGCGCGTTTTGCGCTCTCTGCCCGCCCGCAACGCCGCAGCGCGCCACGGCGTCTGAAGCAACTATTTCACACCAGAGGTATTCCAGGTATCTTACGAAATTGAAGGCGCTCCAACATATTAAGAATGACAGGCATCCTTCAAAAGTACGGAGCTTTCCTCGCAAAATAAATCAAGATACTACGGCACAAAAAGAGAGCGGTAGTCCAAAAACTAACTCAGTCCTAGTATCCGTATTTAGTAACGTTTAGCATAAACTTTATCGTCTGGCTGTTGCTTAATCGCCATCGGCTATAAAAGGCTATAAGAAAATGTACAGCCGGCTACAGAAGCTATTGGAAATCTTACAGCCGGCTTTAGGTCTATGGTATTTTGGAACACAGATTCTACTGCCAATTTTTACCAGGGTATTTTGTGAACAGCCAAATATGAATA